AGGATTCCCTTGATATCTGTTGACCATGTTCAAAGCGAAGGCCACATCAGGGCGAGTACATGTCATAGCATACATGATTGAGCCAACTGCGGAAGCATAAGTTACTCTGCTCATCTATGCTATCTCGACATCGGTACTCGGTCATTGAGTCTTACTCAACTTGGTATTGCTTTGGATTGGTAACTCCCCTTTCTTGGAATTTTCCATGCTAAAACGTTTTAACACTTTATCCAAGTAAGTACTTTGACTAAGTCCTATTAGTCTCTTACTCCTATTTCTCAATATCCTTATCCCTAGAATATAGGCAGCTTCTCCGAGGTCCTTCATAGCGAAGCACTTCCCAATCCAGGACTTAACTTCCTGTAAGGTTGGGACGTCGTTCCCTATGAGTGGTATGTCATCCACGTACAAAACGAGAAAGCTAACTATACTCCCACTGGCTTTGACATATACACAGGACTCATCCTCGCTTCTCGAGAAACCAAACACTTTGACTTTCTCATCAAAACAAAGATTCCATCTGCGAGACGCTTGTTTCAATCCATAGATGGATTTCTCAAGCTTACACACTTTATTAGGGTGCTTCGCATCAACAAAACCCTCTGGCTGACTCATGTAAACATCTTCAGCCAACTTCCCATTTAGGAAAGCGGTTTTGACATCCATCTGCCATATTTCACAATCATGAAATGCAAATATGGCTAGCATAACCCTTATAGATTTAATCTTCGCCACTGGTGAGAAGGTCTCATCATAGTCAACTCCGGGAGTTTGAGTAAAGCCCTTCGCAACCAATCGCGCCTTATACGTGTGTACTTTCCCATCCATGTCGGTCTTCTTCTTGAATATCCATTTGCACCCGACCGTCTTACGACCTGGCACATTGTCAACAAGTTCCAAAATTGATTGTCATACATGGACTGAATCTCTCTGTCCATAGCCTCTTGCCATTTCGCAGACTCCGGGTCTGCCATGGCTTCCTTGTAGTTGTTAGGTTCATCCAAATTTTTTAGTTTACTATCACTAATAAACGTATCACCTTCACTTGTTATATGGAAACCATACAACACAGGTGGAACACTAACTCTATTGGAGCGTCTAAGAGGTAAGGATTCATCAATCGGTTCAATAGGAGTTTCCTCCTCGGGTTGAGTGCCAGTGTTAGAGGTTCCTTCATCGTTTGATTCTTGAAGCTCTTCAAGATGAATTTGCCTCCCACTGCCTCATGACATATGAGTTCTCTTTCTCGGAAAATCCCTCTCCTCGCAACGAAGACAACATTTTCACTCGGTCTATAGAAGAGATATCCAAAGGACTTATGCGGATAGCCGATGAAAATACATCGCTCACTTCGAGGTTCGAGCTTATCGTGAGTCTCTCGTCTTACGAAAGCCTCGCAACCCCAAACCTTGATATGTGCCAACGAGGGAACCTTCCATGTCCACATATCTTGAGGTGTTTTGCCAACCTTCTTAGTTGGGACTAGATTAAGGATATGGGCGGCAGTCTCTAAGGCATACCCCCAGAATGAGATAGGTAACGAAGCTCGACTCATCATGGAACGAACCATGTCTAACAAGGTTCGATTGCGCCTCTCAGCCACACCATTCAACTGCGGTGTCCTAGGTGGCGTCAATTGCGAAACAATTCTGCATTCCTTGAGGTAGTCGTGGAATTCAATACTAAGGTACTCACCTCCTCGATCGGATCGGAGCATCTTAATTTTCCTGCCCAGCTGATTCTCCACTTCTTGCTTAAACTCTTTGAACTTTTCAAAGGTTTCTGACTTGTGCTTTATTAAGTAGATATATCCATATCTGCTATAATTATCGGTAAAAGTCACATAGAAGCGGTTCGCATCCTTTGTGGTGGATCTAAAGGGTCCACATACATCCGTATGTATGAGATCCAATAAACCCTCACCCCTTTCATAAGTACCAGTGAAGGGTGACTTGGTCATCTTTCCAAGTAAACAAGACTCGCACGTGTCATCCGAATTGAGGTCGAATGACTCCAACACTCCATCCTTTTGGAGTTGGGCTATGCGCTTCTTGTTGACATGTCCAAGACGACAATGCCACAAGCATGATTTTTCCAAACCATTGGATGAATCGATGTGCAACACATTATTTCCTAAGATATTTACAACATTCACAGTTTCATATACTCCATTACAAGGCAATGCTTCAAAATAGAAAGTGTCATTCAAGAAAGCATTAATAGAACCAATTTCATTATTAAACGAAAATCTAAAACCTTGTCTGTACAAACCATGAAAAGAAATAATGTTTCTCGCCATCTCTGACGAGTAGCAGCAATCATTTAAATCTAAACCTAACCCACTACTAAGCACTAAAGAGTAAACTCCAATCTTGGTGACAGGCGACACTTTCCTACTCCCCATGATCAGGTTCATCTTCCTATGCTCCACATCCCTACTTCTTCTTAGACCCTGCAAAATCAGAACAAATGTGAAAACCACATCCTATATCAAGGACCCAAGAAATAGCATGTGATGAGTGGTTAGATTGAATAGTGTAAATACCTGCGAAGGAGGGCTTTATCTTACCATCCTTGATGTCTTGCAGATACTTCGGGCAGCTTCGTTTCCAATGCCCTTTGTCGTGATAGTAGAAGCAGTCTACTTCTTTTGGGTTAGAAGAAGGAGTAGTAGTACCGGCTTTGGTCCCGCTAGAAGAGGCTCCATCATGGGGTTTACCCTTGTGGCTCTTAGAAGGAGCCTTCCTCTTCTTTCCTTTTCCTTGCCCAATAGCTAAGACAGGGGCAGCAGTGGTAGGAGCAGATGCAACAAATTTGCCTTTTAGACTACTCTCAGCAGTCCTTAGTAGGCCTTGAAGCTTGCTCAGAGTGACCTCCTCCTTGTTCATATGATAGGTCATACGAAACTGGTCATAACAACCACTACAAGAAAAAGTTGAAATAACTACGTAAAATTGCTACGAAAGTAAAATCCGTAGTTATTCTGCTACGGATTATGCTACGGAATGGCTTGTCGTAGCTATTTTGCTATGGAACTTGCTATAGAATTTTATTATGTAGGTAATATTTTAATAACTACGGAATTTTGCTACAGAATTAAAAATCGTAGCTATTCTACTATGGATTATACTACAAACTAGTTAGACGTAGGTATATTTCCTACGGAATTAGCTACAAAATTGCATTCTATAGCTAATATTTGAATAACTACAGAATTTTGCTACGTAATCGGAGTCCGTAGTTATCATGCTACGAAATTTGCTACAGAATTATAAGGCGTAGATATTTTGCTACAAGTGTTGCTACAGATTAAAATTTGTAGTTACTTTGCTACAGAAGTTGTTACGGAGTCAAAATCTGTAGCTATTTTGTTACAAAAGTTGCTACCGCATCTAAGTCCGTAGCTAGCTTGCTACGACATTTGTTACGGAGTAAAAATTCGTAGCTATGTCACTACAGAATTTTCTACGGGATCATAGGTCGTAGCTATTATACTATAAAATAAAAACCATAAATATTATACAATAGAATTTTCCGGTTCAACCGGGAACCGGTCCCGGATCCGGTTCTTAAAGGACAAAAAACCGGTATTCATCTGAACCGGTGAAATCCGGTAAAAACCGGTCGAACCGGTAAAAACCAGGTTCGGTTGAACCGGTCAAAAACCGGAAATTTTAAAAAATATTTATTTTTTTCATTTTTTGTATTTTTTATATAATTAAAAATAATAATGACATCATCCGGTTTTTTCGGTTTTTGAGATCGGTCCGACCGGTTGGACCGCTTGACAAAAGCTCATACATTTTATAATTAATATTTTTTTAGATTGATACTATACATAATACCATTACAAAAGTCAACCCATGAAAATTTCAAATTCATCAACCACATAAACATGATTATTTAGCCTTTTTGAACTCTACATATGGTGTATTTCAATAATCAAATTCCATTTCCAACGTACATTGACATTACCAAATGTAAGGATTGAAGTCGTAGCAAAAGTTAGATGTTTTTGCTTACTGCTTCCCCTCCCTTTGGCTCATTTTCTCTTTCTAGCTCTCAATCTGTATCTCCATTCATCTCAATATCAAATTGTAGTTTGACACTCTGTGACTTGTTGAGACTTGTTCATGAGTTTTTAACAGTTTCTTGATTTGAATTTTTGTTAATAGTTTTTTACATTATGCTCATGAGTTTTTAGTTGAACATTAATGTCGTTTGCCACATCTTGTTTTTTTCGAGCCTGCAGTCCTCAATGGTCTAAAATCTAAATTAATAATGATAAAATTTGTACCACTAATTTTTTTATTTGAACATTAATGTCGTTTGCAGATTTTAGTACTTTCCATTACACAAAACCACCAAAGTCGATCCTTTTATAGATACCACTCTTGAGTCTTGAAGAGTAGTGATCTGCTTGATTTACAAAGATACCATTTCCGAATAATGGTTCTGATTTCTGAATAAAAGTTTCTTCATCTGAATTCTTGTTAAAAATTTATTCCATCAATTTTCAAGCACTTCTACGTTCATCTCAATGTCGTTTGCACTCTGTGACTTGTTCGGACTTTTAATTTTCGCCCAGGTTTTTAGCAAACAGTAGGAGAATGATCAAATTGCCCTTAGAACTAAGAATTCACCAGTTGACCCATTCCTTATATATTTGAAATCCTTTCCATGTAAATATAACCCACATAATTACTTCTTCCTTATATATCTTCAATCCTTTATTGTATATTAAGAAAAAAAATAATATATACTTTAAAAATTCCTATCATAACTCCCGGCAAAACAATTTTTTTCCAAAATATTCAAAATTTTTTAATTCCCTATCCCACTCCCGGGTAAACAGAAATCCCTATATCCACTCCCGTCAAAACCGTTCCCCCAATATTTAGGCATAATTTGCCCACGCAGAGGAAAATTTCTGTATACGTCTTTGGTCGTGTTTCGTTTCCTTCCACTATTCGGTGCTTCCAATCCTTGTGATTCCAGGTATGCTTTTCTTATTCGCTTTAATATCCTTCCCTCGATCATCTTCCTTACCTATCAACAACAAAAGTAAGAACATGACCAGAATCGTTAAGGCTTTTATTTACAACCACTTGGTTTTTTATGTAAGTTCAAACATCGACTTTTAAATAATAAAAATGACCAGCATTAACTACAACATGGTTTTTCTTCTCTTTTATTTTCCCTAAGCCCGTCTTATATGCTTCCTCTGTTTATTTTTTGTGGGTATTGAAAGATCATTGCTAGTTCTGGGGTTTACTTACTCTGTATATGTTTCTAATCTTGAAAACGGAATGGAACAATGCTTATAATCTGATTAGTTCAACAGAACGATTAGGCCCATGTGCTGTAAACTGAATATATTATTCATATTAAGATTTTTTATGATATCAAGTTCTTTTCATTTCCTATAAGATTATTTTTTTACAAATGAGTATATTTCAATCTTATAATGTTGTATTTATAATGCACTTATTATGTTACAGGAAAGATGTCTCCATTCCCATTAAAAGGAGCTCCAACAAGGCCTCGCAAAAACATGCATCGTCTGTTACAAAGGCATCTTAATGAAACATCTACACCAGCTGCTACAGTGACATCCCCTTTGGTTACCCCTACATCCACACCAACAACGTCTACCTCTCCACTATTTGGAACTGTATCAACCCCAATATCCAACCCTTCAATCACACTAGCAACATCATTTACCCCTGTATCCACCCGTACACCATCTACCCCCCATTCTTTGGTAGTGTATCAACCCCATCAACAACACCAGCCCAATCATCTTCCCCTACCTCCACAACAATCCTATCCACACCGGTTTCTTCTGAACAACAAGACATACAGCTAGAAGGACACGTACATGTTAAAGTGCGCGAGAATACGTAAGTTAACATACTAACTTATTTTCATTTTTGTGTTTAAGTTTGATTTGTTCATATCTGTTTGCTATTTTTTGTAGGTTATTACCTTCAAATACATGTTCATCCATAATTAAGAAATCATTCCTAGACAAAGTGGATGAAAATGGATATAAGTGGGTAACTATAAGCGAAGAAATAAAACAATTTTATTGGGAGGAGTTTCAGGTACAAGATTTTTATATTTGGTTTTTATGTAATTATTAGGCATATCATTCGATTATTATAACTCCATTGTTATGTATTGTAGAAAAAATGTCAGTGGGATGTTGCAGTTGGTGACTCGGTAGTCAAGGCTGCTTGGGAACACAAGGCCAAAGAAAGATATCGTCAATATATCTATGACATAAGCACAAGAAATCCAACTCGTGAAAAGCCATGCCACATAGAACAACATGTGTGGAATGCTTGGAATGCAATCTGGAACTCAGAGGACTTCAAGAAAAAATCAAAGCAAAATAAAAAAAATCGACGTAAAGGTGTAGTGGGTGGAAAAGCCCCACCTACTCATAATGGTGGATCGGCTTCACATCAACAAATTGCTGCTGACATGGTAAGTGTTTTTTAACCGTTAATATCATTTTTAGCATCTTGTTTTCATTTTTAGTTATTATTATCTTATGAAAAGGATTATAGCATCCTCAAAATATCTTAGTAATTTAACCTTGCTCTTGGTTTATTACTGGTTAAATCAAAGTATTATAGCCTAGTCTTATTATATATTTCTTTTGATACATCTTTTGGGTGAGATTTGACATATGTATGGTATTAATGTAGGAGGAATATACGGGACAAGCTCCTTCATGCTATGATGTATTCATGTTTACCCATACTAAGGATCATGACGGGAAGACTTTTCAAGTTGACAAAGCTAAAGAAGTTCATGTAAGCTTAATTTCAAATTATTTAATAATATAAACTTAAAAATCTTGTATAAACTATATATTAATGCAAAAATAACATTGCAGGAGTATTTTGTGTCTCAACGTGCGGATTTGGCACTCCTAGGAGAGGAAGTTGATGAAAGTGAACTGTTTTATAAAGCTGTCAGAGGACATGACCGTAAGAAAAGAATTTATGGGCTTGGATCATATGGCAGGTCCATTTTTCCTGAAAACTCTTCTCAAACATGCACTTCACCGGAGACAACTTCTCAAAAACATCATCTTGAGACAAAAATCCAGAAACTAGAGGAAACCATAGAGCAACAAAGAACAAAGTTGAATGTTGTGAGAAACATGGTCAATGATATGAGAAACACAAATAATCAGTGACACGTTTTTTTATTGCATGTTTTATTTCTAGTTGAGTTTGATTATTAGATTAGTTTTATTGGTGTTTTGGACAAAGCAAAAGTTAGTTCCATGATAAACTATTTTTTTATTACGAATTTATGTAACTTTTTTTGTTTATTGCACTTTCATAATGTTGATTTTATTATGAATATGCTTTGGGAATTTTTTTGTCACTTTTGTATGTATTTTGCTACAGAATTAATCATGTCATCAATTTTTGCTATTATTATTTTTATGGAGTTTCTACGGATATTTTCACAAAGTTATTATGTAGTTGAATTGCTTTGGATTTTGCTATGTAATCTATTTCGTCATATCTTTTTTGCAACGGAAGTAGACCGTGGTAAATTTACTATGAAACATTTGTAACACAAGTGTATTGTAGTAAATTTTCTACAAGACATTTGCTACGGAAGTAGATTGTAGTGAATTTACTATGGAATATTTGCTACGGAAGTAGATTGTAGTGAATTTACTATGGAATATTTGCTACAGAATTAGGTCATAGTAAATTTACTACGGAGTACTAGCTACGCCATTAACCATAGTAGATTTGCTACAGAAACTAGCTACGAACTTAGTTTGTAGTTAATTTGCGACAGATTTACTACAGATCAGGGCGTAGTTAATTCACTACGGACTTGCTACGGAAATAAATTGTAGTTAATTTGCTACAATGTTGCTACAGATGTAGTCCATAGCAATTTTTCTACGAAATAAATCCGTTGTAAATTCCGTTGCGAAGATGCTACGGATTCCGTAACGAACCTTTACTAACGAAGAATTTGACTACAGAATGGATCCGTAACTAACTCCGTCGCTAATCGATTTTCTGCAAGTGGACCGTGATTCACTCTCCATCCTTCATTTTGGTAGTGATCATCGAGGCGATGATCTCGTACCTCTCCTTCCTAACACTTTGATGGTACCTTTCCATCAAATCTTGGTGCATCTCGTATGGATAGTAGTCCTCGTAGGACTTTTGGAGTTCAACAGTCATTGTTGCGAGCATGATGCAATGTACCTTCGTTGCATCCCTTTCATGAGTTTTGTATGCAACAATTTCCTCGGGAGTAGCAGTGTTTGCATTAACCTCCTTCAGCTCCTTGTCGAGAACATACTCCTTGTCCTCGTAGCGGGTGACCATGCGAATGTTGCAGATCCAATCATTGAAATTGGTTCCATCAAAGATCACCATCCCACACAAGTTCATGAGTGAGAATGAGCCAGAAGGGGTTGAGCCAGAAGCATTGTTGTTTTGAGTAAACATCTGAAATAGAAAATGAACAAAGTTTAGATTAGATAATAATCCCCAATTAAACACCCAAATGAGAAATTAGGGTTAGGACCCAACATGATTATTTACAATTCAGAAGAGGGATGCCGTAATCTAATTGCAAATAATATGAAGGTAGGTAAATGACGATTTACCAATTTCCACCATGAAAAACGAAAAGGATTTAAGTTTTAAATGAATTGAAATTCCTAGATTCTTTTGAGATTCATTGAACTTTTTAATGACATGTTTAAATCTCGATTATGCCCATCAAGTTTGTGACTGGGATACCGAGGATCACAAACAAGGTGTGAATAACCATGCAAATGTACTTGGTACTGTCGATGTCATTTACCACTTAATCAATATGCCGGTTAACCACACACGCTCCATTGATCTATGATAAACATCGAGCTACCCTTTGCCACCCTTGCTAGTCCCAGATTAGTATGCCGGTTAACCACACACGCTCCACTAACGACTTGGCAAGGTGCAAAGTGTAATTTCATGGAATAGCATACATTTTCACATTTTTCTTAAAGTAACTAAGATTGGGAATTTATAAAAAAAATAGTTACTTTATATAATCATTATACTTATTAATGAGGAATTAGTTGTCTTATCCTACCCGTTCGGTTAACGACCCTCCACCAATCAAGGAAGCGGTGGGTGAGAGTGGACACCCATTAAACCACCATTTTATAGGCAGTAACCTTATACCCCCCCCCCCCCCCTTATAGACCGACTTCGTGAATGAGGCCTACTAACGGTAAGACTGACTCGTCTTATACATATATATAATTATTAATCTTTTAATATTATAATAGTATAAGGGTTGAATTTTAAACTTTTAAAACTCTAGGGTTTAGAATTTAAATATTTCAACATTAAAACTTTTTAATCAAAAATATAAATTCCAAAACTTGAGGGGAAGTTTTGAAACTTTTCAAAACATTCTAGATCAAATTTCAAATAATTTAGTTAATCAAATAATTTGTGATTATCTAAATTTGACCTAATTCATTTAAGGCAAGATAATTTATATTAAATAATACAAATAATTTATTTTATCATATAAACAAGTAATTATCTTATTATTTAACAATTATCTTCTAATTGGATGAGGATAATCAATACCATATTGAAAAAATCGGATTTTATCAGTTAAAGACGTTTATGGTAATTATCCCAACCCAATTCTAGTCAAAATCCCGAAAAATCTGCTAACAGACGAGCCAACTCGCCGAGTTACAGAATGGACTCGTCGAGTAGCCCTGACTCGTCGAGTTCATCAGGCAGATACAAATTTTTCGACTTTTTCGGCTTAGAACAATTTAGCTATGCATCAAATACAATAGAAAAACGACCTAAACTCTGATACCACTGTTGGGTTATGAGCAAAACATCAATCCTATGGTGCACATGCAAACTCTAAAGCTTTGGATCTAGGTTTTTCTAGTTGTACATGCAATACTCATCCAAAGCTTATAAACCCTAACTCTAGCATACAAAAATCGAAATCAACATAAATAAACAAGTAAGAATGTTACCTTTCAAATTGTAGCTTGATAACCTTGAGCTTTTGAGAACCTAACACCTCAAATGTGATGCCTCTAATAGATCACAAACACCAAAGTAATTGGATAATATAAGAGAGAGGGGGGAAAGGTTATTTTCGGCTCTAGGAATCCTTCTAGGGTTGTGGTTAGCCGAAAATATGAAGCCAAGGGGGTCTTTATATAGGTGAGCTGCTAGGGTTTCAGTCAAAACCCTAATTAGATTGCTTAGGCCTTAAGCAGTCCACAGGATCCTTCCAGAAGGCCCCTATGGACGATTTCTATGTGGGCTTCCCCATAGAATTCGTCCATCCCTTCTTTAGGGTTCCTCAGCCCATATTGCAATTATCACATAATTACAATATCAGTCCCCTTAATTCAATTAACCTCTTTTGACCACAAAATTAATTCTTGACCAATGTTAATTAAATAATATGATTTCTCTTTTAATATATTATTCATATAATATATTAATAAATCACTTTTATCCTCTTTCTCAATTATTCATCCAATCAAGTTGCTTTGGTGAAGGCAACCCAAAATGACCATGCTACAATCGGGTCAAATATATACTAAATATAGTTATGGGCTTAGACATCTAAACCAACACAATCAGCTTATGCTTACCATTCAATACACATATTACATTTCCGTTTCAGAAGTAATTACATTAAACATTAATGCTTTACAAATAATCAAGCGATAGTCTTCCATCAATTACATGACTTTCCTTCTTTATTCCATAAATCACGTGTTGTTATCTCCAACCTTCCCCCATTAAAACCCACACTCAGCTTATCTAACCATTTCAATTTCAAAATTTGAATCCTTAAATCTTATATTCTCCGTTTACAATGTTCCAAGGAACATGGACACATAATAAAATATTTTATGGCTCAGGTAAAATATCTACAATATTCTTTCTCTGAATGTTGTTTTTTTTTCTTACCATATACCTAATTGGATTTCTTGTTAAAATAATGTGCCCTTAATTGAAATAAATGTAATTTTGGGTCTCAATGGTGATGTCGATATGATTCATCTTCTCAACATCATGATCAATTTATTAAATGCCACCACAGTAATCATCCATTCCATTTCTCTCTATAAAATTTCTTCTTTGAACCACGATTTTAGGGTTTTAGATGCGGCCTCATCTGCCAAGCATGTCAATATGTCGATTTTTTTTGTAGATTCGAGTATCTAACACTGCCATCAGGAGTGCTAAACCCATCATGGTTGCATATGGGCATCATGGTAAGCAACCATGAGTTTCTATGTTACAGGTCGTCTCTATTTCTTGGTAACTAATCATGAGCTTATTTGTTGAAGGTTATATTCAATCTGTTATTGCACTGCTATTTCAAATTTGTGGCTTTTTTATAATCCACTCATAATCATATATAATCATATTGCTCAATAGTTGCGTTCTTCGTTTTGTCAAGGTTGGAGATGACTTTGGATTTTTATGTGAAATTTTGTCATCTGTCTAAGAAGGTATATGGTAAGAATCTTTTTTAACTAAAAAACGAAGTAAAATATCTTTCCGTTTTACCCATTTGTTTGTATTGTTGGATTTTATTTGTTTTGATTTTTAAAAGCATCTAGGATTTGAATGGTCCTATCCAATTCAGAATCTTGTTAAAAATAAAAGTAAAATGCTATAATAAACAAATAAATGGATAAACATTTATGTTAAATATATAAATTAAAATGGTTTCAGGACTACAAAAACAACTTGAAATAGATTGAAAAAAAATCGAATTGAATTATTACAACCCTACAACCCACCAAACCGGTCAAAGTTCTGAAACAAATTAAGATGTTACTGTTATTAGAACTTAACATTATGAATGAGTGATTAATTGCAATTTGCATAGAAGTGACACATAAATGAATTTATCAACGTTTAAGGATTGTAAAAACGAAAAAAGTTATCAATATTATAACTTGCTTATAATTAAAGGTTTTTATGGTTTGACCTGATAGCCGTAAGAAAACTATTCATCGAAATAAATTAATCAGCGTCCAGAAACTATTTATCGCCGCCGCTTTGCGTGGGCACACTAGTATATATATATAGAAATTAAGAACATGATATGATTGACGAGTCTAACAAATAAATATAGTTAATATGATAAAAGAATAATGCA